TTACACGTAGGCAATTAAACAAGTACGCATGCTGCTCAAACATTTAAACACTTTAACATGTAGCACATAGGCAAGTAAAAGATTTAGCATGCTTCTTCAAATATCTAAACACGTAACAAATAATCTCATACGCAATGTAAACCTCTGCCCACGTAATCCTACATAGGCCTTTACCCGTCGTCCTAAGGTTTTCGAACCATCGCTCTGATACCATTTTGTAACAACCCAAATCCTCATGGATCCAGATCATTAAACGGGTCCTTACTCGACCCAAAATCATCCGAGGGTAAAATGGTCTTTTCACATTAAATTTAAATAACAAGGTCCAAAAAGGCAAAATGATAATTTGTTACAATTCAATAAATTGAGACTCAAGGGTACAACGGTCATTAACTTGTATCACATAACAAATAAAATAAGGTTCGGGGCAATATAGTCCTTTCGGGGGTTAAAATATAATTATGGCATTTTCTTGGGTCATAAAATAATTACGTGCAACTTTAAATGGATGCCAAGGTGTAATTTTGGAAAAATAAATACATATTACATAAGTGATAGAAACCGGTCGACATATCTACACCATACGTCGACTGGTTTGGATATGAACAGTGGGAAAATCCACTGCCAAGACGTATGGGAAGCCATACGTTTAAGACATGATACCGGTCGACATATGGGATGCCATATGTCGACTGGTTTGGAACGTATACAAGATTACCACACTGTAAGATACTGGTCGACGTATGGGGAGCCATACGTCGACTGGTTTGGGTCATTCACGTTCAAAAATGCTTACTATCGGGATACCAGTCGACGTATAGGAAGTTCGACTGGTGCCACTACACTCACGTACATAAACTAAGATATATTTCAACATTTAATTGCAATAATAACCACCACGTTGATAACGTAACTTACAACTATGATATACGGGAATTAACATGATACGAATTTAATTACATTACCCAAATGGCCATGTACATGATAAATCCAAATATTTTACATATTGTAAAAATAATACATTTTGTGTCATGCACTTTACAAGAATAATTTAAGTCCCACAAAATACATTCAAAAATGCCTTAAGTTCCCTTAGCTCTATGGTGGATTATCATCCGCCAATTCCTTGCCATGACCTGAAGAATATTAATTATGTGGGGTGAGCAAATTGCTCAGTAGGTAACACTTAAGACACGTCTCTTGTGTCCCTGTGAATCCAACCAAAGAATAGGACAATAGGAATTGGGATCATACATTGTCAGAATAATACAACATAACAACAAGTCTCATTATAAACAATAGAATGCTATGGGATCCAATGCATGCCAATGTCGCTCCCCATTTTCGAAACCATCACTTTCAAACCGTTAATTTAACCCCCTTTGGTGATTCCGCAACGCCGAGAGAAGGATTGGCTACTGTCCCTGACCTTTGGTGACTCCACAGCGTCATTATGGGGCCCAGATAGCTCAACCACGCTAAGGCAATCTCCCTAGTTCCCTCTAAGTTACATTAACTTACCGGCCCGTTGGTGACTTCGCAGCGACCAGGTTTTATCAAAACACTTTCATCAATACATTCTTTCCCAAAACTCCCCTTTTTCATTTCAAAGTCAATTTTTCCCATTTCTTGCCCAATGTAAATGCATAGATGCATTTATGTCATGCTAATACTCATCATTCCACAACAAAATCAATTTAAGTAAGCAATGCATAATTTCGCAAGAATTTCACAAGAAATTTCAACATGCTCTTATACAACAATACATCTAGCATAACAAACATGTAATCATCATCACGTAGGCACGTTTTCCACATAAAACATTTAATACAAGCTCTCATATAACCATGTATACATGTTCTAACTATTTTTAAACTACAACTAGCACAAATAAGCATGTCTTGCAACAATTTAGAAGATGTAATTCACATAGGAGCAAGAAAATTGTGAATTAAGAGCCCCTACCTCAAATTGGAGCAAAACCCTTAAAATGGTCAAGAAATTCGAAGGCCAAAGGAAGCACCAAATCTAAAATTGTTGGTATCAATGCGTAGAGCTCGTCGTGCTCTCCGTTTTGCCTCAAACGGCACTCAAAGTTTCCAAGGATTGAGAGAGTTATCAAGGATTAAAGTTAGCTTCCCAAAGAAAAAGAAAATCGCAAGTAAGAGAGGGAAGAAAGAGAACCAGTGGGGAGAGGAAAGATGGAGACCAAAATGTGGTCTCAAGACTTTTAAGTTGGTGGTGGTGGGTCCCATGCTTTTTATTTTCTTATACCTTTTTTCTTTTGCTTTTATTTGTACCACACACATTTAAATACACTACCACATAAATATTATATTACTCACATGAATTAGCATGCACAAAATGCAAATGGACCCAACTAAGAGAAAAGACAAGAATGCCCTCACGGCGACAAAATTCTAAAAAAATTAAAAATGGTAAAAAAGCGGAAACGTCACAATAACTTCCGGCCTAGATAATAGCTAAAAATTTCTAGGTGTCCTATTCATCACCCAATGGAAGTATCATACCAAATTCTCACTCATTATTTAAAATTTTATATGCTTTATTATTCTTCAGAGAATATTAGACACATAAAATTTGGAAGGCAATGTTTACACCATAACTATTGGCCAATTCTAGTTGGAAAGGTCGCCATGGCCAATTCCAATGAAAGGGTTGCCGTTTCCAGTGAAAGGGTGATATGCAGATAAGGATGCAATCATGAAACGACAGGTAGCTTTTCATTTTGGCGCTCTCCTCCTCCGGGGTTTATCAAATGCAATATGGATGCTTTGCTTTTTTAGGATTGGAAGATTACTGGAGGTGGCGCTGTGTTCACTGACCATATATGAGACACTGTTAAAGCGATTATTGTCCATCAATTTCTGGCATCTAGTGCTCTTGAAGCTGAAGCCAATTGCTTTCGTAAAGTAGTATTATGGTCAGTTTTTGAAAAAAAATCACATGTCCATTTCGAATTTGATTCCTTATATGCATGCAAGACTCTTGCAGATTGCCATATCATTCCACAAGGCAATGAGGTCGCTAATGCCATTGCCAAGCTTTTAAGGAAGCATCTGTCCAATGCTATTCAGGTCCTCAATTGTTGCTTGACAATGCCAGGTGCACATAAGAGAATCAAGTCAAACCTTCGGTTAAATAAATGTGAAATCAGTTATGTACTTATGTTGTACCTATGCATCACTTCTATGAATTCTATGTAAATGGAAAAAGAAGTGTCAAAGGAAATGCACGGCCACATAGGATAAGAATAATAAATAAATAAATAAAAATCACTGAATTAATTAACATAGACCTATAAAGCCATTAAAGATCACATGCAGAGTCTAAATTCTCATAATGAAGCCTCCCTTTATGCAATAAAAAATATCTAACTTTCTTCCATTGTCTTTTTTTCTTCTCATGATGTAAGAAGAATTAAGGATTAAAACCAGCTTTCAGTACTAAAAAAAACCGAAAGAATCTACACTTTTTTTTTTCTCTCTCTTTAATGGGTGGTGGTAAAGACACTTCAAATCGATGAAATTACAGGGATTAGAAGATATGAATAAAACCGGTGTAATGTCTTGCCTAACTAACATACGTTCCAAATTCAATTTATAAAAACCAGCATGAAATTTAGTATAAAATTTAAACTAAATTTCTTCCAATTTCAAATTCAAAGCGTGCCAATTCGACACTCCCAAACATAATATAGTTAAATTTTCTGCGCAAACAATGTTGCCCTTTTTCCATAATCACCAAGTCATACAGCAAAAAATAAATAAGTGATATTGTCAAACAATAATATACTGAGATATACAAAAAGTTAAAAACTGGATATAGCAGTACCCCATGCTAGTCTCATAAAGCCACACAATCAATTTAAAGCGAGCATTATAAAACTCTTAAGAATCACACTGCATTACAACACACTTGGGACAACTACACTTGGCCATTTTTCTCTCCCTTTTTGCTACTCATGCATCCAGATAGTGTCCTATCTATAAATATAGAAATTTATTTTTTTGGTCAAGAGGGATATTTAAAAGTAAACTAAAAAACATATGGGTGACAAGACCCTTCAGGAATCCGCAAACATAAGGATTGATACAACCAGGAAGGGTAGAAAATAATTCTAAACATAACATTTAGGAACTTATTCGAGTTAAATGTGTGAGTTATGGATGTAAAGCTAAATGTGTCTAGGTATATATTTTACTCAACTACAGTGTAAGCAATGTCAATCAGTAAAGCATAGCTAAAGAGTAATTCAATATAAACTAATGGATGTAAAGTTAAATGTGTGAGTTAAGGGGATGCAAAGCTAGGGATGAAGTCGTATGTTCCCCTCCCAAAAGTGGGGCCGAGGGTTCAAGCCAAGGGAGACATTTGTGATTTAATTTACCAATTGAAAAACAAAATGACAAAATTTAATGAAACGCAAAGATTCAATCATTCTGTCTATGCGAATAAAATTGAATACAGATCAAGTCTAATTCATAACAGAGCCACCAATACAATTCAACAAAACATTAAGAAAGTCATGTAGTGAAACCTTGAACACCCTTATTCTGAACAATTGCATTGAAAAGTTAATATATATTTATCTATAAAAAAAATAAAAATAAAAATAAAATAAAATAACCATAAAGGATTCATCTCAATTCTAAAATCCTAATAGCAACTCAGCATATTGTCCCATTAAGTAATCATGTAGATGGTGAGGAGTCGAACTTAAAGAAGAAAGAAGGCATGTGTTACAAGATATTTTTCCAAGCAACAAATTTTCTTGGACAAAATCATGAGAAAATTAAATCAAAGAACAATCTAATTCATAATAACATAAGTACATATTACTTGACTACACAACAAAATAATGTCAATTCAATATAAACTTATTGAGGCAAAGTTAAATATTAACATGTTACAAAATTACAGGATAACAAAAAAATGTTTCTCACCCGGTGTGAAATCCTTAGTTTCAAATTAAACCATTTCGAGAACAAGAAAAAAACTGTATATACATCTGACATTTAAAACTTCATTATATGAAGAGTCTAGTTTATAATAATCAAACACATTTTATTCAGGTATAAGTGCAAAGAAATGATAACTAATAAGGCATTCAAGGGAGTATTACAACGTACTGGTGGAACTGTAAGTGGTACGAGACTAGTATGAATTGACATTCAAAATCCTCAAACATTCTGCCAATGGAAAATCCTTGAGTGAATGAAAGTTCGAGACAAAAGTAACAGCTTTGAACCCTGATCCAATACCATCAACCCTGAGTTGAGTAAAATTCCTTTGTTTTGGATTATAAGAAATCAGAGTACCCAGACATGACATCAAGATCTCTCCATCTTTCCAAATTGTGATTGGGCAAAGTGGTCCGTTATCCAGCCCAGACGGAATTGTGTTATTCAAAATGCAATCTTTAGTCCAAGACGTAGCAACTCCATAATCTTTCATCGACCATATATCAAGATGACGCCAGGAATTGTCAAATACACAGAGGCAGTTCCCTAGCACTCCCAATCTGACATAACATTATCCATTTTCAAAATTTGGAGGCAGTGGAATTGGGTGAAATTGTTCGTCGATATCAAAAGAATATATACATTCTGAACAAGGGACAATCCAATGAACAGCCCCATTCAGAGTAACCCCACACTGATTTACCAAAAGTTGGAATGGAGCATCTCCCAGTTTTCTCCATGTACCAGATGTAAGAGTACAAACCTCAACCGTTTTACTTATTATCATTAGGACCTTATACTGGCCTGTGCCCGAACTACATCCAAATCCAAACCCATAAGCCACACGAATAACTTTATACTCAGGTTTTGGAAGGGCAACATATTCTCCAAAAATTGGGTTGACTATGTAAACACGGTCAATAGTTTGGTAGTAATCAGAGAAACAGAGCAAACCATTACAAGAACCCACTAATTCTAGCTCTCTGTGAGGGATGTAAAATGTCATTCTAAAACACATTGGTCTGTGAGGTTCAATCGCATTGGCATGTGGGAGCCACATTGGTTGATGAGCGTACTTACTGTCATGTCCAAGTTTGAGTGGGTTTTTGAACCACATTGGTCCGTGAGGCTGGTGAGTGTAGTTACAGTCATGGTCATGTCCAAGTTCAAGCAAGTAGAAACCATTATGCACACGAAACACAATATTGATGAAGGCCGATCTTGCCAGCCGAACATTATTGAAAATACACCTGCACTGTAGGAGGGTCCTGATTGGAAGCCTTGAAAGAATAGCCACAATGATGAAGGAAGGAAGATCCATGATGGAAACACCAGTGTTTTTTGCTTTCCATTATGTTGATTTCTGTTTTCTGCTTCTTCTTTGCTTGAAAGGGTTGTTGCTAAACTCTTCTTCTGCATCTTTTGCACACAAATATCGCTTAGATTGTTGCTTGTGTATGTTTAACTGGTCGCACACCCAAAACACACAAGAAAAACCTTGAACATGTAGGTCCCTACTATTTGCCATCTCTGTCATTTCTTCCCAAATCCCTATGTTAAACAAACCTTTCATTCATATTTCAAACATTCCCTATACACAAATTTCATAAAATTTAACATTCAAACATTAATTAAAAACAAAAAAACAAACCAGACGACAGTGAGACTCTATTTCTTCATGGAAAAGGCCTCTTGAAGCCTCTTGCAATCAACCAAATAAGCGAACCCATAAGCCATGTTCTTCAAGGTGGCCTCATGCAACTCCGGCAACGACGTGGCCGTCGCGTCCGTGGAGAAGAAAACCCTAAACCCTCTTACGAACGCCTCCCTCGCCGTCGTCTCACAGCACAGGTTCGTCATCACCCCACTCACGATCACTTCCTCAATTCCCATCTCCCGCAGACGCTCCTCCAGGCGCGTGCCCCTGAACGCGCTGTATGTGTTCTTCTCCATTACCTCGCCGTCGCCAGTGGCTCTCCGACCCACCTCCGGAATCAGCTCCGCCTCGACGGTGCCGTCCAGGACGAGGTCGTCGTTCCACCACTCGCCCAGCATCCCGTAGTCGGCGGCGGACTTGTGACAGTGGCGCGTGAAGATCACGGGGACGGAGGCGTTGCGACAGAGATCGATGGTGGTTCCGATGGCCGGTAGGATGGGCTCAGCCATTGAGGAAAAGTAGTTCTGCATGTCGATTACTAAGAGGATAGAGGTTTTGGGATCTGGGTTTCGTTTCCTGATTTCAAATTTCTCGTAGGAAGAAGAGGTAGCCATTGAATTGACTGATGTGCAGAGGGGAGAAGGGGAAGTGAAGAGTAGTGTAGGAGATTTGGGAATCAATTCAAGCAAAAGGAAAGAGTAATGAAGGGGTTGGTTTGTTTTATCAATCAGATAATGTTTCTGGCACCATCTTCCGATGGATAGAGAATTACAGATTGACCCTTTCTTTCTTGTGTCAATGGTACTCAGTTTATCATAAAGGCATTCATTGCCCTATTTTTTAACAATGAAATTCCTTAAAGTTTTCTTCTTTTAATAAAGACACCCAATAATGTAAAAGTTCACCCTTAATAATGTAACAATTAATAAAATGACTTAAATATCAACTCACTCATTAGTTGACTCTTTCAAAATCTAAAATTATCTGACTAAGTCAAATTTGGTAAAACTTTCAAAATTATCAATAAGTGATCATAAAATCGCAATCAGTTTTTAAAACCCCCAACAATATAACAACGTTATTATTTTACCTCAACTCTGGTAATTGGGCCCGTTAACCCAGCGCGTGGTGAACAAATGCTTTGACAAATTGACTTTTGTGACGAAAATACCCCTGGCATGTGAATGTTGGTGAAGAACAGCAGGTTTTGACGTCATTAAACTAGTGAGAAACAAAGTTCCTTCCAGCCAAAAGTAGGCGAGCTTACGGGAACTACATGAGCCGATCTCTGGTGACAAGCTTGCAACCTTCCGAAGTCGTCACAACCAAAGGACCATCATCTGCTCATTTCTGGAACGGGTTTTGTCATGAAGGGAGTATCGGCACTGGTGTATTTTCGGATGAAGCTCTCGCCGGCGAACTCGTAGATAGGCTCGCTACTGCAAATGGCGCTAATTTCTTTGCAAAATTCATGGTTCAGGTAGGCGGACCTAAGGTGATAACACCATGATGCCCACGACCCTACAGGTTCTACCGAAGATGGTGATCAAACCGGCGATGAATTTACTATGGTGACGTCGGCGAGCCCTTTGAACTTCACGAACTGCACAGGCAAATCTTTGGTGATGGGCTTTCTACCGCAACCTGCCGATCTCATCACAAAAGACCACAACCCGTTCACCTCCGGACCGGTGTCTGCCATAGAGAGTGTGTGGGTGCCGGTTAGCTTCTTGATGAAGTTATCACCATCGAAAGAGCTATCTCAGAAGTCAACCGCAGTCCCACCAAGATAACGAGGACTAGTCTAATAAAGTTGCACTTGAACCTTTGAATGGCTGGAGTTTACTGTGCTAAAGAAGCGAGCCTAGCCTTCACTGCTGATATTACTATTTGTCTCTTCCTCTCCTTTGAAATAGAGACGACGGCTTTTAACCCAGACCTTTAGATCTTCTTTCGAAAGACTTGGGAAATCAACATTTGCCAGATACGAGTCCTTCTCTCTCTTTCGCAACATAAAGGGACAATCCTTCCTCTTGCTAGGAATGGATTCTTCAACGTACAAACTTTTGGGATAGGAGCTTCGGAGTAGTCAAAGCCAGAGTCCGAATCTGTGGTCATCAATGGAAAAGGGAAATTAGCGAACAAATGCCGTTGGGAAGCAGTTGGAGGGGAAGGCTTTCATCATGAGTCCAGAGGCGCCGGTGGTGCAGACTATTCTCAATCAGTTTCAAAAATATGATTTTTTTGATTTTTTAAATAAAAGGGATTATAATAAGGGTAATTTAGTCATTTCACATACCCTTAACGACCAATTGTCAGAGTTGGGGTAAAATGATAACGTTGTTATATTATTGGGGGTTTTAAAAACTGGTTGGGGTTTTATGATCACTTATCGATAGTTTTGAGGGTTTTACGAAATTTGCCCTTCTAACTAATATAAAATGTCCAAAATAATCACTTCATCTCAAATACCTACCCACATAACCACCACTGACACCTCCTCTCATCTCTCGATTCTCTCCTACCAAGCATCACTCTCTACCTCTACTATTCTGCAATATATGGATACACACATATATAAACCAAAACACACAACAGGGCCGGCCCTGGGCATAGGCGACCACCGCCTCCAATTTGAAAGGGGCACAAAATTTTAAATTTCCTTATATATATATATAGTAAGCAGGAAGAACTAGTAAAGGTTGCTCCCCTTTCATTGCCACTACTATTTAGATTATATATTCATATTAAGATTGTTGGGAAACGTGCTAGTTTTAAAAACTTTTCGAGGGATTTTAATTCATAGATCTTGATTCATTACATAGAGACAAGTTTTATGCAAAAATAAAACATGATGTATCATTCAATTAAAAGATTGAATACTTACATCAAGGTTTGAGTAAACCTTAGATCTCTCCTCTAAAGTGAATGTTCTCACTTATTGTAAATCCCTTTTGCTAGACACCTTTTCCATAGATCTCCATCTCCATCTTCTTGGTAATGGTCTTGCCTTTAGGAATCACTCATAAGCCTCCATGAATGACCTTGAAAAACTAGGCTTGTGGGAGCCTCCATTAGATGAGAACACTAACCCTAATTTTCTAGAGAGAGAAAATTTATTCCTTTTTCCTTCTCATAAAAATCACCCCTAAAATACACATAAACCATGTATATTTATAGGTAACATAAAGGTAAAGAAAAGGAAACAACTAATCCTTCTCAATCTCTAATTCACATGTATCAAATCTAATATGATTCCAATATCAAGTTGGGCTATGAGTGAGAATCCATTGGGCCTATTATTTTATTGGCTACAATGAATTAATAATTGGCCCGGTCCATGGACCCAATTTAATTAATTCATAAATTAATTTCTACTCCACTAAAAGAAATTAATTGAACTCCAATTAAATAATAAATAACCACTAAGTCAATATTGCACTTTGACCCCTCTATGCATAATTAGTTATCGGATAAATAATGTCATCAATCCGACTACTTAATTAATATATTTATTTTGGTACCTTTGATTATTTCTGGCTTGATCACAATAAAACATTTGTTTGACAAAAAAATAATAATTTAATAAATAAATATATAATAAATCATTTTGTCTAAAAACATACGAAAGCCTTCGAATTTACTTTGTGATCAACCATAATCAATACAAAATAAATACAAGTAGCAATGATGCAAATATTGAAAATATAACCCTCTAACTATTAATTACATAACTACCCAAAGTGTCGGTCTAAGGATTCCAAAAAATCCGCCGAACAAATCAAAGCAATTATTAATTAATAAAAGAGTCTATAATTTTCTCATGCTTAAGGTCAAATGCTATGACGGTGCTAGGGAGCAATTGCATACGACGGCTCTCGCAATATATCTCAACCTAACGCGGATCCCGTTCAAGTCTTAATTAATTATGAGTCCATCCATAATTACCGACTATGAACAATTTATAATTACTATGTATATATCATGCATTGATTGCCATCACATACATATATATAAATATTTCTTGTAATCACAGGGACACTATCAATTTCATAGTGAATCGAAACATAATACATTGAATTCACCAATTATATAAATCATAAATATTTCAGATATGTCAGGAACATATGTCACTTTAATCCAGATAGGAATTTGCTATGCCAGGGCATATAAATCCCAACAGCTCCCACTTGCCCTCATAGCCAATTCAAATTGCACTTAACTCCAATGTTATCCAGATGATCATCAAAATTATTGATCAATGACACCTTTGATAATGGATCAACAAAGTTGTGTTCCAATGCAATGTTCTAGCTACAAGTACATTTTCTTGCCGGACAATTTCATGTAGAACATGATACTTCTTCTCAGTGTATCTTGTTCCTCTATAGAACCTTGGGTCATTGGTTTGGACTACTTCTGCACTATAGTCACAACATAGCTCAATAGGCAAGCTAGTATACTCCACAACCTCTAAATCAGTGAGATCAAACCGATAGGCTTCCTTTGCCGCCTTTAAGGCTGCAATATATTCCACCTGCAGGTTTGAGTCAGCAGTTGAAATCTGCTTAACAATCTACCAACTGATTTCCCTTCCATTAAGTGAACATACACAAAGTCATGAACCTCATAGTATCTACTTCTGATTGAAAATCAAAACTAGCATACTTGACTAGGACCATATCATCACATCCATAAATGAGTATGATATCATTGATTCTCCTTAGGTACTTATTGATATTTTTCACAACAGACCAGTTATCAAGTCCAGGATTGGACTGATATCATCTAACTATCCCTACAATGTAGCGGATGTCCTGTTCGGTATAGACCATGGCATATATGAGACTCCCATATGCCAAAACATATAGTTCCAGCCTCATTTGCTCAATCTCCTCTGCTAGTCTTGGAAAACTACTTACTAGAGAGAGCAATCCATATCAATAAAGCAAGAACTCATTCTTTGAGTTATGCATACCAAACCTGGTCAAAACTTTTCCAATGTAGGATTATTAAGATAAGCCTATTTTCATTTTAACCTGATCTTGCAAAAGCTTGATCGTAGGAATATAGCTTACATCTTGAAAATCCTTTATTTAAAAGTAATTGAACAACTACCTCTTTATCGATGACAAAACTTTTACATCATTCTAAATGAGTAGGATGTCATATATAAATATAGAATCAGAAAAATAATGACATTCTCTTGTACACCCATGATTTATTCACTAAAAAAAAAATCTTTTGGTATCTTTTTGTAGATTAACTTGCCTTCCATAGGAATCACCCTACTAGAAAGTTCTACAAGATCCCAGAATTTATTAGAATACATAGATTCCAATTCTGATTTCATAGTAACTCGCCAAAACGATCTGTATCCATATCGGTTCACGCTTCCGTGTAGCTTACTGGGTCCAACTCATGTTTAACAGGGATGTCCATAATGGTCTCACCTAAAACCATGATTCTGTCGGATTGGATAATAATCCCCCCACTACATTAATGGACCGATGCAGGAATCTGTGTACCAGATGATGCTTACGCATCAATAGGGAATTCATTTATTATTCTCAATCTATATTATAATAAGTGTGTTCATATGTGGTACATCTGGTACTCATTCCATATTCTCTAACACTATGCTACTAGGTATATGATTCATAATATGATTCTCCTATAGATAAACAGTGAGTGTAAACAATCAACTTTTATCATTAAGATCATAAAATAATCCGTCCTAGTGACCTTTAGAGTAGCTA